ATCTCGCCTGCTGCACCATCACCTGCTGGTCTCCTGGAGTCCAGTCTACACCTTTGTAAGGAGTCCCCTTGTCATGCTGTCCTCTGGGCTGCGTGTAGCATCCGTTCCCTGCCCGGGTTTGGACCCATCCAGCCCATGCAGGCAGGTTCACTGGGGACGGGCCAAGAGACTAAGGGCTGGGCCGCTCGTGAAGAGTATGTAGACGTGATCCCTCTCAGGCTCACTGGCCGGTGGCCTCTCAGCCCCTTCCTGTCCCTGCCCACCCACCAGCAGGAACGGAGATGACCCAAGACCCACAGGGCACGAAGGGTGACTTCCAAGGCCGCAATCTTGGGATGCCGCCCGCGAAGGCAACACAGTCAAAGCCGTCTGCCGAATCCTGCAGCCTCCGTGCTCGCAGACCCTAGCCTTCACGCCACCGCCCCACCGCGGCCAAGCCACAACCTCGGCGAGCCCCCGCTTTCTCATCTACAAAATGGGATCACGACTGCTGCCCGTAGCTCCAGAAGGGACCCACGTGAGGAAAGCACGTCGCAGATGTAAAACAAGGCATAGCTACTGCACAAGACCGTGCAGTATTTTATGTGAACACAGCAAAGTATACACGTATACTCAGGGAATGTACTCCCTTACACGTATAGGGAATGTAAATCTGATTTTTTTGTATCTGTGCTTAATTTCTGTGTCCAGCCCCCAGGCTCCTAAACGGAAAAAAAAAACCCACAACACTATGCCAGGAGTTTAATTTCTAAACATATTAAGTTTGAGATGCTAATTAGAGATCCAAATGGAGATGTTGAATAAGCCATTGGGTCCTGCAGGCAGGATGCTGGGAGTCGTTAGCACCTAGGTGGTTTAACTACATTATTACAGTAATGAAAGGAAGGTGTTCTAGACTGGATGTCTGGGTCCCCCCACTCCAGTTCCTAGGTTGAGACCCTAACCTGCAATGTGATGGTATGACAACGTGGGACTTTAGGGAGGGGACTGAGTCATGAGAGTGGAGCCCTCGTGGATGGAATTCGTGACCTTACACGAGAGACCCCGGAGCCCTCTCTCACCCCTTCCGCCACGTGAGCACACGGCGATGAGACAGGACCGATTCTCACCAGACACATCCTCTGGGGCTTCCAGCCTCCAGAAGTGTGAGAAGCTGTGTCTGTTCTTGACCCCCAGCCCATGGTATTCCCTTACCGCAGCCCAAATGGACCAAGACAGGAGATAGAAGATGCCGTGGAAATGGAAGAAGGCCAATCGCACTATTTGAAGGAGTGAGTCTCCATGCGTGGTCCCCAGATTTGGAACGTCAGCATCACCCAGGACCTTGATAGAGACGCAGAGGTGGGGGCCCCACCGGGATGTGAGACTCTGGGGGTGGGTCCAACAGTCTGTGTGTTGACCCACCCTCTTGACGCTCAAGTTTGAGAACCTGCTTGGCTACTTTCTCAGACAACAGTCGCGTTGGACGCCAATGTGACCAGCAGATGGCTTTACTCTCCCCGTGGAAAGTGGTCCCCAAGTGGCTCCCAACGGAAAGGTGGCGTCACCGGGAAGTTGCCAAGGCCCAAATGACAACAGAAGATGCCAACTGACCATGTGCTGCTCAACCAGACCCATGCTGGCCCCTCCGGGTGCCAAGAGCAGACATCAGTGGCCGGTTCAGTGGCCATGATGTGTTCAAACTGGATACTTTAAAGGTCAGAGGGAGCAGAGGCCAGCGGGCAGCTTTCTCAGCGGGAGGCCCATCCACCATGAAAGATGAAAAAGAGTGTCAAACGAAGCCAAGGGACTGAAAAGATTCCTTTGGGTTTTCGGTTCCTTTTTTTTTTTTTTTTGGCAGCTAAGCTGGCTCATTTTGCGATATTGTGGTTCTCACTTGTAGCCACTTAGGAGATGATGAATGCATCCCGAGACTTCCCCAGACATTTATGACACCTGCAGGATTAGCAGTGACAATGGCTCTATCATGCACCGCGACTCGATACCCTTGGCGTTCCTCTTAATTATTTATATATTCTGGAGCAGCCGCGTTCCCTCCCACCAGAGCTCAGGAAGGTAATAAATGAGGAAAGTCAATGGTCTGTAAATTACAACATTGATTAAAGAAGTGATTACTGATATAACTCTTGCTTGGCTATTATGCTAATGGCTGCCCGGATCCAGGACGGTGTTTCCATGCTAATGGCGAGTCTGGGATGGCAACTGAAATTGGTTTCCACCCTTAATCAGTAGGTAAACATTTTTAAACCACTCTTGACCATGAGTGAGAAGACCCATCCGTGTGTTTCCTTCCCAGCTGCTCCTGCCACTGTCCCCAGCAGATGGAGGAAACTCTCTCAGCCCAGCCCTCACCAGCTGCCCTTCCAAACAGAAGTGAGAGCTGGGGATGAAAATGGGGCCCAGGGTAGCCATCCGTAGTTCCCAGAGGCTGGGGAAAGACGGGTGATCGTGCAAGTTCATTGCTCAGCAGCGATGTGATTTAACTGGGTCCACAGACCACCACCACCCGCCCCCGCCGAAGGAGACGCTGCTTTTTCTAGAGTGCACAGTCCCGACAGGAGACAGATAAGCAAATTGGCAATTACAGCTTAGTATGTTAAGTGCTATGTGAGGAGTCCATGTGTGACTTCATTAACTCTGGAATGTTATGCAAAACTGTAGGTATATGCATTTCCATGGCAAGAGTGAGCTTGACTTGTGTTCTCAAAGGAGTCAGTGACCCCAAAAAAGTTAGGAAACACTGCTTGAGACCTTTCTGGAAGCTTTCAAGTAAACTTCTTGTGTTTCCACTGCTTTTGGCTCCATTGTGTCTCATTCTCCGACCACATCTCCCCTCACCCTAAGATCCTTCTTTGGTTGTCTTGAAGCAGGCATCCCCATGAAGAAAGGGTTCAGTTCATTCATCCACCCAGCTTTCCATCAACCCATCCGTCTATCCATCCACCTGAATATATGTATACGCACACACACACACACACACACACACACACACATCCATTCATCCACCCACCTATCCATCCATCCATCCATTCATAATTCATCCATACATTTATCCACCCACCTATCCATCCATCCATCCATCCATCCATTCATAATTCATCCATCCATTCATCCACCCACCTATCCATCCATCCATCCATCCATCCATTCATAATTCATCCATCCATTCATCCACCCACCTATCCATCCATCCATCCATCCATAATTCATCCATACATTCATCCATCCATCCATCCATCCATAATTCATCCATACATTCATCCACCCACCTATCCATCCATCTATCCATCCATCCATTCATAATTCATCCATCCATTCATCCACCCACCTATCCATCCACTCACCCATCCATCCATTCATACACCAACCAAATGCACATACATACATTGGTCCTTTCAGTGTCCACTCTGCCAAGTTCCTGCTTCTTGAGCATCTGGTGTGAAGAACCAAGACATCAAAGATTTAAAAAAGATGTACTTCTTTCCTTCAAGTATCTCACGGTTTGGTGGTTGATCTGGACACGTGGGGCCAGTATAAATCATATCTTATAAACTTGAATATGCAAGACAGCCATGTCATTTCTTAAAAACCCAACTTGATTTCTGTTCTCAATTTTCAGTTCATTAAGGCTACAGAACATAGTCCCAGACTAATTTCCCGGAGATGTGACTGTTATTGCCCAGGTCTTGAGAGAGGGGGCTTCTAGTCTTCACGTGTCCTGCTTACAGTCCCTAGGGGCATCCAATGTCAGAGTTACCTAGGATACGGTCCCTCCCCTGTCCATGGCACTTCTCCAGCCCACTTCCAGGGAGCACCACAGGCATCTCCCTGCTGTTTCTTCCCCGCCCCCCACCCCCGAGCGTCCATGGGGCTGTATATAGATTCATCTCCCTAAGGGTTTAGACTTTGGAACACACTGCCTTAATGCTTGCAGACTTTTATTTTATTTTCTATGTGTTTGTTTTGCTTTGTGCTCTATCTTGTCTCTCTCCTGAGGCAATGATGTGGTAGGAACTGGAAAAGCAAGGGAAGGACTACATGAGGAGGGAACATACCTTGAAATGGCAATGCTGCCATTCACAGGATAAGCAATTATAATACAAATGCATAAACCATCCCAGGAGGTCGGGGAGGTGCCTGGCCAGGCCAGTAGGGAAGGAAGGGCGGGCCAAGGAAGCCCCACATGCAAAGGCCCTGGGGTCTCGGAGACTGTTGGGGCTGTGATCAGGGGGAGAGTGAGTCAGGCTGGAGAGGAAGGCAGTACAAACCCTGCAGCTCTGGGGGGCTGGTTGGGGTGACATGTGGGTATGGCTCATTTTATGAGCAGACATCACCTCTGGGCCCCACTCAGAGTTCGGTCTCAACTGCGGATCTGTGCAGGTTCCAGCTCACGTGGGGGTGGTACCACCTTCCACCTCGAGCTCCTACTGTTTTCTATCCCGGGGCCTTCTCAGACGCCATGCACCTGTGTCTCAGCCTGGACGTGCAGGGCAGTTAACACACGGGCAGTGAGAGAGAGGAGCTGGGAGATAACGTTCCTGCCTCTTATCCTTCAGGTGGGCAATTTTGTAGGCTTACGTGAGGTTCCAGAGAAACTGATCCACAGCAAAAAAA